CGGGTTTAGGGTTGAGGGTTCTAGGGTTTAAGGGTTTTAGGGTTTTAGGGTTGTAGGGTTTTAGGGTTTTAGGGTTTTAGGGTTTTAGGGTTTCAGGGTTTTAGGGTTTTAGGGTTTTAGGGTTTTAGGGCTTTAGGGTTTTAGGGTTTTAGGGTTTTAGGGTTTTAGGGTTTTAGGGTTTTAGGGTTTCAGGGTTTCAGGGTTTTAGGGTTTCAGGGTTTTAGGGTTTTAGGGTTTTAGGTTTTTAGGATTTTAGGGTTTAGGGTTTAAAGGTTTAGGGTTGTTTAGGGTTGTTTAGGGTTTAGGGTTTAGGGTTGAAGCCTCCTTGAGGGAGAACTTGAGCCATGTCCCAAACCTTGAACCCTGGACCTTAATTTCGCACCATGGCTGGTTCGGCCTGCTGAGGTTGGAACCGGGAAACTCACGGTGACAGGCGCAGTGAACGGAGGGGGGGAGAGTTTCTGTCAAATTGCCCAAGCACGATGCGCGCATGTCGGGGCCACTTTTCACCCTACGTCCTAGCCTGTCGACCTTTTGTTTCTTTTATTTGGAGTCTGTATGAACGTAGTTGGGAGCTTCTAGCTGAATCCTTTCAGATCTTTGCACAACTACTCCCAAGCCCTCTAAGCCACCCTTTTGGGTCGGGAGGCGGGGGGGGGGGTTACATAGCGCGAAGGCCAGCACGGGAACGCGGTCGGATATACGGATGTGGCAGGGCATGGATCCCATGTGGCTTAGGGTTTCTCCTGGCAGAGGTGCTAAGCTAAGCTCTGCTTCCGAGTTTATGTCTTAGGGTGTTGGGGTCAGGTTTCAAGGTTTGGGGTATTTAGGCTTTAGGGATTAGGGTAGGCGCAGCCTGTACAAACACAAACAAATAAGTCTCGGTGCCGCAACGCAACGGCGGCGTGCCCACTACGAAACTGAGATAAACACACCAATCTGTGAACTTTCTGACCTTTTGTCCCCAGTACAGTATATATGGGCCTCAAGTTGTCATTCTGGAACCTCTTTAAAGCCCAAGTATATTCTTCGGACCTACGCAGCAAATTCACTCTGTCTGATCGAAGCGGTGGTATCGCTCGGAGGCCACTTGTCTCGAAAACCTTAACTCACTGAGCCCCAACTTTTCATGCTAAATCTGCACAAAAGATGTCGTACCCGGATGGCGGCAGCGGCAAGCATTGGAAAAGGAAGAACCTACTGCGTGTCCTTAGCTCTCGGGGCTGGGGTATCCATGGTGATCCTCGCCGTTGCGCTCAGCCCTAAATTAACCGCTAAACCTAAACCCCTAAACCCTAAACCCTAAACCCTAAACCCTAAACCCCTAAACCCTAAACCTTCAACCCTGAGCTGCCACCACAAACACCTACGCCTGGAAACCTGAAAGGCCAGCTAGGCAAGGTGATGACAGAGAGCGCCAGGGGCTCGACACGCTTTGCCAGAAATGGGAGCCTTCGTTAGGGTTTAGGGTTTAGGGTTTCGGGGATTAGGGCTTATAGGGCTGAGGGCTGAGTGCTTAGGGCTTAGGTCTTAGGAGGTTTCGGGGTTCAAGAGGTTTCGGGTCAGGGTTTTAAGGGTTCAGTGCGTTTCCGGAGGTTCCTGTGGCTAGCGGGCACACAAGGTGTTGTAGGGATACACGGCTTGACATCGAGAAAATCTCAGTGCTCAGGGTTTTAGGGTAGAGGGTTTAGGGTTAAGGACTTTGGGGCTTAGGTTGTAGGGGGATTTGGGGGTTGCAGGGGGTTAGGGTTTAGGGGTTCAGGGGTGGCTGTGGCTAAGCTTGAAGCACTAAAGTAAAAAAAACCCAAACCCGAAGCTGAAACTAAAAGCCCAACGCAAAACAAAAAAAAAAAACAAGTCCCTAAACCCCAAGCGAGGTCGAAACTGCACTTTCGCTGCTCCGCGGCCGCTTCGTGCGGTACTGCCAAAGCCCGGGGTCACGGAGATGACTACAGAATTCAAGATACCGGGGGTCTAGGGTTTAGGGTTTAGGGTTTAGGGTTTAGACTACAGAATTCAAGATACAGCCCCTTGCTCCCATTGTTTTTTATGGTTTAGGGTTTAGGGTTTAGGGTTTGGGGTTCAGGGTTACTAGGACCCAGAGTAGGCCCATGTTCCCTTTTTGGGGGGGTTTGGGGTTTGGGGTTTAGGGTTTAGAGTTCAGGGTCTAGGGTTTAGGGTTTAGGTTCCCTTATCAGCCTCTTTCAACCAAAAAGGGCACCCGTTGCCGTTTATTCCTAGCTTACTCCTGGGTCTAGGATATGTGGGTAGCTCTACCTTTAGCGATGGCCACGTCCATTTTCTCCCCTCTCCCCCATCACACCCCCCGCTCCTCCAGAAAAAGAATCAATAACCTCTAACCCCGACCCCTGAAATCCTAAACCCTAAGCCCTAAACCCTAAAGTCAAGAAGCTCTAACCCCTGCCCTCAAACCCAAATCCCTAAAGCCTAAACCTTTAACCCCTGAGACCTAAACGCTAAAACTCAAACTGCGAAGACTGGGGTGCTTTCTGGGTGCTGGCTTTCTACTAATTGCGTAAGAACCCGGCAAAAAGGCAAAGAACATACTTCCTTATTAGGGGTAATGTAAGGATAACCCTCAACCCTCAACCCTCAACCCTAAGCCCTAAACCCTAAGCCCTAAGCCCTAAACCCAAAACCCTAAACCCTAGACCCTAAACCCTAAACCCTAAACCCTAAACCCTAATTAATATAGGGATTCTTCTTTTGGGGTTCTTACGCAAGTAGTGGCTGTTGCGTTGAGGCCCGGCAACCACGGAGGTGTTCAGCTTTGAGACCCGGAGGCGGTGTGTGGAGTGTAAAGGGGTTCAGGGTTTTAGGGGTTTAGGTTTTTGGGTTTAGGGTTTTAGGGTATGGGGGTTTAGGGTATAGGGGTTTAGGGTTTTAGGGTTAAGAATTTCGGGTGCAGGGTTTTTTGGGGTTTAGGGGTTAGGATTCGCGTGCTTGGGGTTGAGGGGTTTAAGGCTTGGCATTTAGGTAGGGCGGATTTTGGGGTTTTGAGGTTTTTTTTTTATGTTTGTGGCGTTTTTGAGCCGGTTTTTGGAGTTTTGGACCGTGAAAACTCGAAAATGGGCACCGTTGAGGCAGAGCAATAGTTCGGCGGATTGTTTTTGCGCGAGACCCTGGATTGTAAAATGTACGCCGGGTCCAGACCCTAATTTCTCAATTAATGATTTCTTAAACGCACGGCTGGGCCGTACCCTTAAGGGGTATAAGGAGGGACCCCTAGAAGGGACCCTGAATCTTATTCCCCTACAGAACCCCACCCATACCTTACCTAGGCCCAAAAAACCCAAAGTCGCCCCTGAAGAACCCCTAAATTACCCCTAAACTTTTCCTGAACTCTAAACCCTAAACCCTAAACCCTAAACCCTAAACCCTAAACTCTAAACTCTAAACCCTAAACCCTAAACCCTAAGGTCCCTTATAAGGGTCCCTCCTTTAGTCCCTTGATGCCCTTTGAGACAGGATGGGCCCACCTCCGAACACCGCAGTTGTGGATGACAAGCGGCCCGAGAAGTCCACCTCCCCTTCCGCCTACTTTGGGGTTTAGGGTTTAGGGTTTAGGGTTTAGGGTTTAGGGTAAGAATTTAGGGTTTAGGGTTCAGGGCTCAGGGTTTAGGGTTTAGGGTTCCAGGGGCGCCATATCGGTGGTTGGGGTTTAGGGTAATGGTTTAGGGTTTCGGGTTCAGGGTTTGGGGTTTGGGATTTTGGGGTTCTGGAGGAACGGTTTGGTGTTTGCAGGGTTTGCATTGATTGGTTTAAGATTGTTGCGTTTGTAGAACCCTAAGGGTCCATGTACCTAAATAGGGATTACTCGGGCCTCAACGTACCTTCTATTTGGGGACTTCAGGGCCCAAGTACATAATCATGAGGCACAGGGACCCTTGCGGGTAAGGGTTGTAGGGTTTGTGAGGGAATAGTTTATAGTTTGGGAGGTTCCCCCTTATACTAGCAGTCCTTAGTCGGGATTCGAGTACCCCCTGTGACAATCCCTAGTAAGGACTGTTAGTATAAGGAGGAACATCCCAAGTTGTGGCGTTTGGGTTGCTTCGGGATGCTCTGGTTCAAGTACAACCTGATCTGTTTATCCCCTGCTTGTTCGAGACGCTCAAGCCCAAAGCCCTAAAGCCCGAGAGGGCCTCAGGACAGTCGAGCCCGAAACCCTAAACCCTACACCCTAACACCCCAAATCCCAAAAAGGGGTCTTGCTGGTTATCTTAAATCATTTTGGGAAGTTTGTTCAAGCTGCTGAGGTTTTTTTCTTTTAAACTTTCTGTTCATGTTTACTGATATTTAGGTTTCGCGTTAACTTTCTGTTCATGTTTACTGATATTTTGGTTTCGTGGTTCTTGGTTTCAGGACTCATTAGCGGGCTTTCAGCCATGTATGCACAAGCTGAGGGCCGCGGTAAAGGGCGTAGCCGCTCTTTCCACAGGGGCTGCTTTTTCGTCGCAGCATGTGTTTGTTAAGTTAGAGCTGGAGCAGTAGTTGAGTTGCAGGTTTCTGGCCTCGGCCTTTGTTATAGGGTTCTTAAGGTAGGTAGGTACCTAGGAAGCTTAGGGAGCAGGTGGGGAGTATGAGGGAACTTTGGGTTACATACCCCCCTTTGAATCCCCTCCCTTAAGAACTCCATAACTTGGGTTGAGGTTTCGAGTTCAGGGGTGGGGTTGTAGGCACGGCTGAACAAGAGAATGCCTCACGCTGCTCAGAGGAAGCTGTTAGCATCGCCCACATGGAAATGAGGCGCACGCTGTTGAGGGTGCATGTCTACGAAGTGCCGAACACCCTAAGACCTTCAAGCCCTGAAGCCCTAAACCCTCAGAAAACCTACTAAAGTCTACACTGAAGCACAACAGCAGCCTAAGCCCTAAGCCCTAAACCCTACAGCCTAAGCCCTGACCCTAAACTACAGCAACAAAGTCGCTGTGGAAGCATTGGACAAGCCCATCGAAATCCGCTCCGGATGAGAGACTTCCATGGACCAGCCGACGGACGTGACCCTGCAACCCACAGGAGCAACCCTCGGGCTGATTTGGGGTTTAGGGTTTAGGGCTGGGGTTTAGGGTTTAGGGTTTAGGGTTTGGGGTTTGGGGTTTAGGGTTTAGGGTTTAGGGTTTAGGGTTCCTAAGGTCGTACCTCTAGAATCTGAGCTAGAGAGCCCCCCCAGTTTTCGACGGGGTTCAGGGCTCAGGGGTTTAAAGGATAGGGTTTATGCTGTTTACGGGGTGTATGGGGCCTACATGGCTTGTATAGGGTTTCAATGGCTTATGGGGCGTAAAGGGCTGATCGGCTGATAGCAGTGGTAGGCTTCGTAAAGCCGATTTGCTTGGGTGCAGGGGTTTAGGGTTTAGGGTTTAGGGTTTAATTAGGGTTTAGGGTTTAGGATTGAGGGTTTATGGGCCTAGATTGAGTTTCGAAGCATGGAAGTCGCGTTTAAAAGCCTTGGCTGTAAGGGCCCAAGAGGTTCAGAATTTCAGCGGTCAAGCGCCTCAATGCCAGCAGGTCGTGTGCGCATACTCAAAGCCATCGGTGACGGAAAAGTTTTTTGAAAGTAAGCGATTGTCATGAGTTTAGGCCTAAACCCTAAAAGGAATAGGTTTGGGTGGTTTTGCCGCCTCGGACGGCGTGGGGTGGGAGAAAAATCTTAGATGGCCCTCCACAATCGGGCCAGAGCTGCTCTTCGCACCTGCCGAAGCATTCGAGCCGCTGCTGCATCCTAACCTTCACAGCATCTATGCCCTCTTGCAGCAAACCCTAAACCCTAAACCCTAAACCGAATTCAGGCAAGGTTCAAGTCAAACAGGAAACCCTGAATCCGAATCACCCCAATCCCCCTGCCCCAGTATTCAACGCCCACACACTCCTAGTCTTATTCCCATCGTAGCATGTTATTGCCTATTCGGAACACATTTTTTCTGGGAAAAGGGGAAGTTTAAATTCACTAGGGGGAGGCGGGGTTCTCTCCAGCAAACAAGACCAACCCCCGACAGAAGGATGGGCACGCAGCGAATCCAGCGACAGCGTGCATGCTGCCGACCAGGCCGGATTTTCGAGCTTTTCTGGCGGTACCCAACTTCAAAACCCTAAACCCTAAACCCCAAATCCTAAACCCGAATTAAACCCCAAACCCTAAATTCTAAACCCTAAACCCCAAACCCTAACCCTTAATCCTAAACCTACCCCCCCTGTAGACGACTCAAAGCCCTGCAACCGCAGGGCAGAGATTTCACAAGACGCAGTTCCATAAATGCGACATAGTGACGGCTCTAGATACCCAAGAACCCTAAACCTTAAAACCCAAGAACCCGAAACCCTAAACCCAAAACCTTGCACAATAGATCCCAGGGAGAAGTCCTTAAGGCCACACAAGCTTTAGACCCTATACCTGCGACCTTAAATCTTGCATTTTTAAACAGTTGACTCCAAATGCATGCACTGAAGCAGCAAAGCAGAACAAACAACACCAGACACAAAACTGGGCAATTCCATCCACTTAGAAAAGCACACCCCCGCCCCCAATGCTCAGCAGTGAGGTACGGAAGGTTCGCTCGCGTCGGGTCGACGAAGATGGCTGGTCACTGCAGGTGCGTGGGGAACGGCCATGTAGCATTGCGGGAGAGGAGGGTTTCGGGCTTGGGGCGGTTTTAAGTGTTACGGGTTCAAGGGCCTGGGGCTTGAATGGGGAAGGGGAGGTCTAGGCAGGTTCAGGGAATCATGGTCGTTCAGGAATGGGGAGGGGGAGGGCAGGGGACAGGCCCTAAAGTTCAGATTCTAGGGATCTACCTAGGGAGCTCAATACCTTACTTAGGGTGAATACACCTTGAAAAGTAGAAGGGCTTTGCTTTCGGAATGACTTTTGCCCTTGGCAGGAGCGCATCGCAACACTTCTCACCTGGAATGACGGTGCCAGGCCCGTGACACAGACCCTGTAGTGCATGTTTGCGAAAGCGAAGCGCTCGCGCCACGTATATTTATGTGGTTATTGCATTTCTCTAAATAATGGTCCCTTTCGGATTATGAGGCGGCCCCTAATTTTTTTTGGGGTACCCTAAAAGGGAGCATCAATTCTGAGAACTCGCTATATACCCTGCATTTACACGCCATCTCAGCGCCACACGCCACGAGCAGAGATCATTGTGCAGGCACAGGTGACATCGCAGTCGTGTATCCCTTCGCCCCTTTGTGACGCGTGGCGTTGGAGGATGACGTTTCGTGATTCATGAAGTTGAGATCTGAACCCCAGGCAACGAGCCACTCAACGTCCTTCCCTCCGTCTCCGGACTGTCTTCTCTTGCGACCTATAAACCCTATAATTAAACCCTAAACCCCAAACCTGTGCTTTGTTTATACTCCAAAGGTAGCCATAGTTGCAGGCTGCTCGCAGAGAAGCTTTACGTGCGGTTTCAGGGGCGCTGTGAGGCCTACCACGACGCGAGGGTTTCAGGGTTTCAGGATTTCAGGGTTTGGGGTTCTGGGCTCAGGGGGTTTCAGGGTTTCTGGGTTGTGCTTTTTGGGACGGAGCGCTTTTAAGTTCCTGTCTTTACCGACTCATGAAAAAAACTGGTTCAATGGCACAGCCCAGGTTTCGGGGTTTCGGGCTGCCTTCAGTGAATCGAGGGCCTCTTACATCCCTGGGGGAGGGCACCAGGGGAAGGCAAGGGGAACCGAAGCCCCAAGCCCTCAACCCGATGTCGTTTGAGGCATCGAACCTCAGACCATAGTTTTTCAGGTTCAGGTTTCGGGCTTGGGGTTTGGGGTTTCGGGTTGGCGGCTCAGGGTAAAGCAATCAGGAACTGCGGGTGTCCTCCTCACAATTCTTGCGCTGTGGTTTGCATCCTTTCTTCTCGTGGACGGGAAACCACTACACCTTCAAGTGGCTGTTTCTCAGTAGGGAATGAGGGAATGAGGGGCGGTCTCAATGAGCTAGGTTAATACTGTTCAATAGACGCCTGCCCCAGGGTCTCAAGGTGTGATGGGCGCTGCGGTTATAAGATCAAGAGTTAGACCGTGAACAAGAGGTAGAAAGAGATCAACCATTAGCAGGAGCTAGAGATAGAGCCAGAGAGAAGACTCATGATGGTACGGTTTCTATGTTGGGTTCTTAGGGGTGATTCGTGGTGTTCCCTGGTGATCCAATGGTAAAGTTAGGGTCTCAAGGTGTGATGGGTGCTGAAGGGGTGTTAGTACTAAGATGTGAGGTTGGATTCATCTCTAAGTTCACGAGTCTTCTTTTTAACGGGATTCGTGGCCCTATATAATCCCTTTAAAAGGGTATATATATATATACATATAGGGGGCTGTATGGGCCCTCCTTCCCTCGGAAACTTTGAGACAGCACTGGTTTCGCGTGTTCCGATGGTTAGTCCTTTTTGCTGTGCTTGCCTTCGAGATTCCCAGTACTGATCTAGCAGCCACTTGCCCCCAAGCCCGAAAGTCTTACAGTCTACTGGGACCCACGCCACAAAGCATCCCTAAACCCCGCACTCACAGCGCCCAACCCTGAATACCACCCTGCTTAAATGTTCAGGGCCTCTAGAAGCTGTCGTCCGTTTTCAGGCACCCTAAATTGAAGGCGCCGACAAGCGACCCAGAAAAGAGCCAAAAAGTAACTGACCACATAAAGTTCCCTTCCTATTATACTATCTTATTATCATACAAAACCCTAAGGCCCCAAGACCACAGCATCCCTAACCAACGAAAGACTCTAACCCCCCCCCCCCCCCCAAAGAAAGAAAACAAAAACATAACAGGCTTCGTCCTAAGCACTAAACCCAAAACCCCTCAAAACCCCCAAAAGGGGTCCTGAGAGCATCCTAAAAGGCCAAAAACTTCAGAAACCGGACAGGGGCCCTAAACCCTAAACCCTAAACCCTAAACCCTAAACCCTAAACCCTAAACCCTAAACCCTAAACCCTAAACCCTAAACCCTAAACCCTAAACCCTAAACCCTAAACCCTAAACCCTAAACCCTAAAACCCTAAACCCCCCCCCCCCCCCCCCCATATGGGATCCCAAGAGGCCAAAAACTTCCGAAACTGGACAGGAGCTCCCGCAGCTCCTGGAGCGCTTGGAGGCCGGGGAGGGGGGGGGGGGGGGCTAAGCCCTAAACCCTAAACCCTAAACCCTAAACCCTAAACCCTAAACCCTAAACCCTAAACCCTACGTCTTCCTCAGGGTCGCTGGGGCTTTCCCGGCCGCCTCCTTCCGCTCCTCTGGGCCCAGGCAACGGTGTCCGCCTTGTTTTTTTGGTTGTCAGGTTTAGGGTTTAGGGTTTAAGGTTTTTGGTTTAGGGTTTAGGGTTTAGGGTTTGGGGTTTCGGGTTTAGGGTTTAGGGTGTAGTTTTTAGTGTTTAGGGTTTAGGGTTTAGGGTTTAGGGTGTTAGGTTTAGGGACTTTACGGACTACAGGGTTTCGGGACGTTAGATTTGGTTGTTAGGTTTCGGGACTTTAGGGACTATGGGGTTTCGGGACTTTAGGGTTTAGGGTATAGGGATTTGTTTATGGGGCTAGCATGTTCTTCTTCCTCTTGAAATTGCATGTTGTGGCGTGGTTCAGGGCTTATTAGATTTTGCGGCCTAGGCGCAACTGCTTGCGCCCCAAGTATAGCCATGTTTCCCCTTATACAAACAGTCCTTTATAGGGATTATAGCACCTTCGATAATAATCCCAACTAAGGACTGTTAGCATAAGGGGGAACATCCCAACATGTTTAGATTTGTAGGTGTCACACAACATGTTTCACAATGAGTGAGCATACACATGCGACATTGGCTCAAGCCGTCAAAAGTGATTGCACCTGCAGTGTTAGTTCTGCCATAAACTCCGTTCATGGTAGCGGAGCTGTCGGTTTGAATGGACAGCAGACGCGACCTTGCTGACGAAAGTGCTGAAAGTGACAACGAAGGCTTCGCTGTGGTGCAAGCTCCCGCTGTGCACCGCTGGGAACGCTTGATCCGTTTACTCTATCGGATTAGGCGACTGCAAAGGATTTGGGGCCTCCTGGGCCAGCATCTCCAGACTTTCGTCCAAAGCAGCGAGTTCCGCCGTCGGCTGGCTAATCGTTTGCGATGAGCAGCCAGGAACAGCAACAGGCACAAGTGACTGCAGCGCAAGTGATGCAGGAGCTTGTGAATCTGAGAAACGAACTCACAAGGCAACGCGAAGAGAATGATCGGCTAAGGGCCGAGCAAAGCACAGCACTTGAGCGAGTGCGGCAAGAGAGTGCAGCTCAAGTTGCGGAAGTGCGAGCACAAGCGCATACGGCAGTGCAGCAGGCGACGGCTCAGATGGGCACGATGCCACAGTTGGTGAGCGACATGGTCAAGTCGAACAAGGAACTGGTTGAGGCCATGGCAAAGAAAGGAGGACCAAACGAGAAGCTCTGTTTGGTCGACACAAAGGGCCTGGGAAAGCCGACGACCTTCTCAGGTGAGAGTGAACAGTTCCTACCATGGAGGCATCGAATGTCGAGCTACGTTTGTTCGATCCACCATGATCTGCAAGAAGTTCTAGAGTGGCTCGAAGAGAGAGAGAAGCCATTCTCCTCGGAGGAGTTGGACACAGCCTTTGGAGAAAAGGCGTTGGAGGCGGATCGAGTTCCCAGACTGCAAGAAAAGTCGAGGGAGCTCGCGAACGCGCTCCAAATGGTTACCTCGAAGGAACCATTTACGATCGTGTGAAATTGCCAGAACAACGGGTTCGAGGCATGGAGACGCCTTACGAGGCGATACGATCCTGCGACTGCAAGCAGGAAGCGCACGATGTTGAGAGCGATTATATCGCCCCAGAAGCAGAAGCTGGAGAATCTCCCTCAGGCCATCGAAGAATGGGCCGACGCTGTGCGCACTTACGAGAAGCGCAAGGACAGCACAGGGCGACGAACGACCCTGGCTGATGAGATAAAGATGGCAGCACTGGAGGCAATGTTGCCACAGGAGCTGGAGTCTCACATCCAGTTGAACCAGAGCCGGTTCTCCACGTACGACGACGTGCTCGACGAGGTGACTCGCTTCATCGAGTACAAGACAGGAAAGAGTCTGAAGGTGATGTCTGCAGCCGCAGCCAGTGCGGCGAGCAAGGATGATCCTATGGACCTGTCGTATGTGGAGAGAGGCAAAGGAAAAGGAGCAAGCAAGGTCGTGTGCCACAACTGCGGCAGGAGCGGACACTATGCCCGCGACTGCTGGAGCAATGGAGGCAAAGGTTCGCAGCAGCAACGGGGCTCACCCAAAGGTCCAGGGCAACAAGGAGGAAAACCAAGCAGCAAAGGAGGAAGAGGGAGCCCCAAAGGAGGAAAGGACAAAGGAAAAGGTAAGAAAGGAAAAGGCAAAAAGGGAAAAGGCAAGAAAGGTGGTAAGAACAAGAAACACGTAGGAAGAGGATGAAGGCTGGGAAGACGGAGACTGGGGAGAAACCTGGGAGGACGGTTGGGAGGAAGCAGAAACAAACAACCTCTACGTGGGAGCGTTAGAAAGAGAGAGCCCGAAGAGAGAGAAAGAGAAGAAGAAGAAAGAGTCGAAGCCAGACCCCGGCAGTCGTGGCTCAAGTAGGGAAGAGGGCTCCGGCCCGACCGTGCTTGGGGCCATGGCGCCAAAGAACCCGAAAAGGAAGGTTCCTCCAAAGGAGGAAAAAGACGAGGATGAAAAGGAGCTGGAAGCTCTGGAAGAGCAAATGGACAGAGCAAGGGGTCAGTTCCAAGACCTGAAGGAAAAGGTGGAACTTGCGAGGAGACGTCGCCAGGAAAGACTTCTTCAGGAAGCGGAAGAGCTGGCAGAAGCCAGGAGACGTTCCCGCGGCGAGGTGCCAGGGCAGTCCAGCTTCGGAGCGTTTTCGTCTTCGTCGCGAGGACCTCCGGAGAGAGTGCGCGAGCCAAAGGCCGGAAAGAAAGAGGAGAAGAAGGAGGTGAGGTCTAAGGCTTTGGACACGGCACCCTGGAAGCGCGTTTCGCGCTACCGGGAGCCACCAGTGCCTGAGCCCAAGACCCCTCCAAAGGCGAAGCAAGAAAGGCCGAGAACACCGCCGAAGTCACCACCGCCTTCCAGGACCAAAAGTCCGCTTCTCAAGCCGAAGGTAGAGCCAAAGAGAACAGAGCCAAAGTCACCACCTTCGAAGCCAAAGGTAGAGCCGAAGAGAACAGAACCAAAGTCACCACCTTCGAAGCCTCCACCTAGAAGTGAAGAAGTGCAGCCAAGAAGCGAAGAGGTGGAGAGACAACTTGCTACCACAGCGCCGAAGTGGGGAGCCTCAAGGAGCCAAAGACCTGTGGCGAAGGCAAAGCCAAAGCTTCTAAGGAGTCCGGCGTCTTGGGCAGGAATCCCAGACCCCGGATCGGATCTATTTATTGGATCCTCTTGCCAAGGGATCCAAATTTTAGATCCCCGGCACATTTTCGGATCTATTTTCTGTGTGCTGCGTGTGTCAAGTTTTGACATGTTGGGCCCAAACTGGGATGTTGAATTCAAGCGTTGGGGTAGAAAGTTCTAGCTTGTCAGAACTGTTGCAAATGCCAGCAGTTAGATGAGTTCAAGCGCACGGAATTTCACGCCGCGACGTCCAAGTCCTTTACTCAAGTGATTCATGACGCTGCTGCGTGGGTTGAAAACTAATGCAGCACCTTCGTGGGCACGTATTCAGGAATAAGCGCTGCCTGCCATTGAAGAGGACGGACACATGCAAACGGTGCCCGGTTATTAGCCGCCACGCACTCTCCATCGATCCGTCTGCAACGACTATCAGGAACACCTTGACGGAGTGATTGCTATAACCCTTTGACGAGGGAGCAACGAAGGGGCAATACAATAAGAGCAACAAAGAGGCAAAGCACTCTTTGCAGACGGTCGGAAACGGGAAACCCCAACGAGCCCCCACCAGCCCCAACAACGAACCCTTCAACGAACCGTTCAACGAGCCCCGCGCAAGGCCCCCAACAAGCCCCCAATGAGCCGCAGACCAGGCAGCAAGCCTGCAAACGAGCCCCCCAACCGGCCTCCACAACGAGACACCCAGCACACCCCAACGAGCCCCAACAGCCCCCCTCCAACGAGCATCCCTCAACATTCCACCAACGTAACCTTTACACAGTGACAAGCTTCCGCGCATGTTGGAGCTTACGCAGTTCATGATTCATATGAACCGTTTTTCTTTCTTTTTTGCAATTCCTTTTCATCAGGCATCGCCAGGTGATGGTTGGGCCATCTCAAGCTGTCACATGAATAAATTGTTTGTCTTGTCAACTTGCTCAGTCTTCTACGCGTAAGACATCGGAAGACTGGATACATGGGCTTGCGCTTGACGAGAAGAGGCAGTTGAGCTTAGTGGGCGGCCAGAGAGCATCACGATCACCGAACCCTTCTTAAAAACACAAAACATAAGTTCTATACCCAACGAAAAATGACGCCAGCGCTTTAATGCTTCGTTTAACCGTTTGAGCTCTAAAAGAACCTACACCGTTTTATTGCATCAACTGTTACACATGCGTATGGGCTTAAGGGTAAGAGTGCACGGTGTGCGCAAAGCTAAATTTCGGCGGCTAGTTCTTAGTATTTTATAACGGCGCAGGGGAATGTTGGGTATTGGTAAATGCTGCAACCTTCACATGGGCAAATGTGAGCAGCCCGGGTCCATGAAATGCGTTCGTCTCACGCCTGCGTTCCTTCTCTTCAGACGTAGGCTTCGATGACCTACAGGAAGCTCGAGAAAACATCCACTGACTTGGGTTCGTGACACACGTTAAGAATTCGCAAAATTTCCAAATTTTCGCACAAACTTCGGAAATTGTGGAGCTAAACAAAAAACGGAGCCGATGAGGGGGCGATGAGGGGGGGGGCCAAAAAAGCGATGAGGGGCCGATGAGCCCTCCCCAAAATCGGAGGCCCGAAAAGGAAACGAAGAGGAGAGGCAGCGATGAGGGTCCGATGAGGGCGCCGAATTGCCGCGATGAGGTGGCGATGAGGGGGGGGCGCCAAAAAAGCGATGAGGGGCCGATGAGCCCTCCCCAAAATCGGAGGCCCGAAAAGGAAACGAAGAGGAGAGGCAGCGATGAGGGTCCGATGAGGGCGCCAAATCGCTGCGATGAGGGTGCAATGAGGGGGCCCCAGGACCAAAAAAGAGCCCAAAAAGTCTTGCCCGCATCAAGATCGTAGACCTTTTTCGCAAACTGTCACATTTGGATGTGTCGGATCATTTACGCAACCTCTGCCTCTACCTATTAACACAAAGACCGTGCGCCTGACGCGGTTTGACACGAAAGCCCGTAAAAAGGACCCTGTGCGCTATAGTGGTGTCTGAGTTGGGCTCTGATTCCGAGCTGTAGCTGGGTATCTATATACAACCCGCGTGGGAACATCTCACGCTCGCAAGGCGTCAGGCTTAGAAGTACGCAACGGATAACTGGGTTGAGCGTGCCGAAAACGTGACAACTTAATTGCACGACAGCATGTCCAGTGTTAAGTTTTCGGTTTGGAGCAGCGAATTCGTGCTCGAAGGCTTGATTTTCTTCGTGGGGTTTAGGGCGTCAATTGTTTTTGGAGGCTTGTGCGAAAAAATCTGAAGGGCTTACAATATTTGGGTTCTGACGCCCCACACGTCTTGGGTGACCGAGGACGGGAGGAACGACTATCATGATTTACATCCATGAAGTTAAGCTATTCCCGATGTATTTCAAACATTCCTACAAGCAGGGTTGCGCTGTTTGGGGTTTGCTATCACGTGCCTAAAGAAACAGTACAAATGTCTCTCTCTCTCTCTCTCTCTCTCTCTCTCTCTCCCTTTGGGTTTTTGATGAATGAATTCGTAGACTGGTGGTGCGCAACAGCCTATAATCTCAAGCCTTTATGTCACTTGCTGGCTTTCCCGGAGCACCCTTGGTTGCGTGGTTTTGGCGCGCTTGCTCGGTGATACTTAGAGTTCTGAAACCGTAGATGTGAAACTCGTTAGACCAAGTATCAAACTTGCGTCTATATACAAACGGGGGACATTCTTCGTGTGGGACACGGGCTCCTGCGACCAAATGCGCGTATAAGATATGCTTGCAGGCGTCGGGTTTACATGCTGGAGCTTGACCAGCGCAAGTTCCGAATGTCTAGAAAAATTGAAAAACGGAGAAGATTGAATTACGCAGGTCTTAATATGGGGTCTACATTGCATCATGGTTATTGGTGGGTGGTGCTTTTTGGAGATTCTTCCGACTGATCCTGGTGGTCGGTCCCAAACTGTTGGTGGCATGGTTGTGTTTCAGCTTCTACTTCCAGACTGACGTTTCCAAATAGGTCATTTTAAGTTTGTAAATGGGCAGAGACACTCACCGTTCTTCCTAAGATCCCCCAATGATTCAAGTTTCGGCTTACATCACTAACTCCCAGCTGTCTGGATCTTTGACATATGTGAGAATCCTAAACAGGTCTAGTGTCTATAGTTTGTCTTGAAAATGATTCAAAAGCGAGATACGGCGCAAAGTGATGATGCCACGGTGAAAACATGCCATGTTTTGAGGGCGCACGGCATACTGGCGGATCCAAATTTTGGATCCCCCGATACATTCTGGATCCAATTTCCAACATAACTTGGGGATCCAATAAATAGATCCGATCGGGGGTCTGGGATGCGCTTCAGGGAACGTGTGGCCCACCAAGATGCCATACGAGACAAGAAGCCCAGAGGCACCGTCGGGGAGTCCTTACTGAAGAAGCAAGGCGAGGCCTGCTCCACCTGCGGGTCGAGGCGACTGAAGTTCAGGAGCAAAGCGTCCCTTCTGCTGAAGAAGAGGATGAAAGAGTACAAGGCAGCAGCTGCAAAAGCAGCGGGCTCCCACTACGCCAGGAAAGTTTTCGAAAGAGAAAAGCTTGTGAGGGCCCTCAGGCCCAGCAAGGCTGAGCTGAGGAGCGCAAAGGTAGCCGAGAAGGTGAAGCAAAGGGAGGAAGAAGCCGCTGGTGAAGAAGAAGAAGAAGAAGAAGAAGACAAGTTTTCCTTGGAGCCGGAGAGCTCCGAGGACGAAAGCGACTTCGAGGATGACCCTCCAAGCGAGGGGCCCGAGGAACCCAAGAAGGAAGAAAAGAAGAAGCCGCCAAAGCAGGAAGAAGGAACCGAAGGAGCAACCGCGATCACGGCAAGCACCTCGAGCAGCATGCAGAGGATGCTAGCGTCGGGTCTTATGGAGACCAACCGTGCGAACCTCGCGGTCTTGGACCAGAGGATCGCGACAAAGAGAGAGAAGCTCGAGGGACGCGGCAGTGACCCAGAGCTGGAAGCCGAGATCGCGAGCCTGGAAGACGAGCGGAAGCGCCTGAAATAGGAGCGCGAGCGCCTTAGGGCGCAGCAAGCGGGCGTGAAGAAAAAGGAGCCCGAACACCGCAGAGACCAGTCGGTGCACGACGTGCGCTACAAACGCCAAGTGGAAAAGGGAGACAGCCACTGGAAGGCTTGGCGTGCGGAAAAGGGACGAAGGAGAGCGCAAGAGCACAGACGCAGCGGTGTGGGCGAAAGAGCAAAGGAGAGGATCGAGGCCGACAAGAAGTGGCACGCCCGACACGACGTGAAAGTGAAAAAGGGCGACTTCCGCGACAACCAGAAGGAAGAGGTCGACGGCGTCGACACGGAGGTTATCCACATGGGACGGAGGCCAAGCCCGAGCGGCGAAAGGACTACCGCCCCCTCACGAAAGCCGAAAGGACGAGCCACCGCGTGGATGCCGACGACGAGGAGGAGCTCTACCGGAAGGAGCTCGAAAAGCAGGAAAGGCCGAAGGCGACCGGGCGCTACTCGGCGGACCCGTCGATTGCGGCCGAGCAGAAGAAGAAGAGGAACCAAAAGAGAAACCAAAGGCGCAACAAGCTGAAGAGGAAGCTTGGGTCGACCTGGGATCCAGAGCACAAAGGAAGGAAGAAGGTCAAGAAAAGCGAAGACGACGATGAAGAGACTGTGCACTGTGAAGACTACGACGACCGCCGCGACCCAAGAGGAGAAGACCCGGAGGACCCGGGCGAAGGAGGCGTGCACCAATCGGTGCACAGCTTCGAGACCGTGGATGCTGCTAGCCTGGGCGCTTCGCCAGGCGTGGCTAGCGTCGAGGTCAACTTTGACACGGGAGCGGCCGTGACCGTTCTGCCTGAGAAGTACGTGACGCAGCCAAAGGACAACGGCGTCCGCTACAAGACGGCGTCAGGTGAGGCGCTGAAAGACCAAGGAAAAGCCGAGGTCACCGGCACTTTGTCGGGAGGCCGTGGGGCTACGATCACCGGCCGAGGCGCCGGGGTCCACCGCATACTCCTGTCAGGAGCACAGGCGTGCAAGACGCATTTTGCGTTTCTGCACGGAACAGGAGGCTTGCTGGTCCCAAAAGGAACTGCTTTCGCTAAGGAGGCCGACGAGGCGTTGCGCCAGTTGGCTTGGAAGCACAAGGGTGTCGGAACCAAGATGCAAGTGAAGAATTTCCTCTGCAAGACGAGAAGAAAGGAGTGAAGGGCGGAAGCAAGGGCCAAGACGGCCTGGGTTTCACGGGGCGTCCGTAGACGGTGTAAGGCCCAACGGGCTTAGCGTTTCACCCCTAGACGAAGAGGCTGAGATGGTTGAGGAAGCGGCAAAAAGGAGAGCCGCCGGAAAGGCAACGCTCAAGGTGTTAGCCAAGGAAGACAAGAAGAGAGAGAGAGAGAGAGAGAGAGAGAGAGAGAGAGAGAGAGAGAGAGAGAGAGAGAGAGAGAGAGAGAGAGAGAGAGAGAGAGAGAGAGAGCGAGAGAAGAAAGAGAGGAAAACGACGCAACAAGGAGCAAGCGCAAGCATACAAGTGCCAGCAGCAGCGCCAGCAGCACAACAGCAACAACAGCAGCAGCAGCCAAGCGAGGAAAAAGGAGGCACTGAAGACGACCGCTTTGCCGAGGAGCCGGAGGCTCCAGGCGAAGAACAACAGAGGGCGATAGTGCCGAAGAGCCCAGACCAGCCAACGGCTGACCAGATCGCACAGCACGAAGCCTCGGGGCACGCGGTGCACCGTTCCTGGTGCGTCCACTGCCAGAGAGCGCGAAAGATGGTGAATCCACATTACCGGATTCGGAGAGCCGAACTTGAGACATCTTTGCCGACGCTACACATGGACTACTTCTTCCTGGGCAAAGAAAAGCAGGAAGACGACGTGATGCCGCACCTGGTGGTTCGGTGCGACAAAACGCAGCGCACTTGGGCAACTTCGTTGCCCGAGAAAGGCACGCATGCGTACAACGTCACGTGGTTGGCCAGCGTGATACGCGAGGCCGGATGGAAGAGGATGTGCTTATTCTCAGATAATGAACACGCCCTCCGTGCGCTCAAACTCAAGGCCTCCGAAGAAGTCCAAAATGTAGTGTTCGACTTGAGAGAGAGTCCTACAAGTACGGAACACGAGAATGCGCCATCGAACGGCATAGCCGAGGCCGCAGTGAGAGAGGTGAAGCGAATGGTCCGAGCTATCCTGTCGGAGCTGGAGACAAAGCTTAAGATCGAGGTGGGCGTGGACCACCCAATTCTCGCCTGGATCGCAAGGCATGCAGCGTTCTTGATGACACGTTTTCGCATTGGCGAAGACGGGAAGTCAGCTTACGAAAGGACGCTGGGCCGACCGTGGAGGCGACCTACCATTGTCTTTGGCGAACAGGTGATGTTCAAGCCAGTTGGTTCGAAACACAAGCGAGGAAGCCTAGATGCAAGAGTTTGCATGGGACGTTACGTCGGAACTGCGTCGAGGAACGCAGACTTGCTGATCATGACGTCCGAGGGTATATCCCGGGGCCACTCCTTGCACAGGAGGCCCGAGGATGAGAAATGGCCTGTTGAAGGTTTCGAAGTGCTACGCGGATTGCCTTGGAGGATGTCCGGTCCACAAGAGCGAGCGTCGCCCAACCGAGTCGGTATGCCCGCTCTCGAAGGCGAACAACCCGCGCCACAACACCGAGACTTCAAGGCACGCAACCTGTACGTCATGAAGTCCGACATTGAGCTGTACGGCTACACGCCTCAGTGTCCGGGATGCGATGCGCAGCTGATGGGTCTCCCGCAGCGAGCGCACAATGACGAGTGCAGGATGAGAGTGCAGAGAAGACTGCAAGAAACCGACGAGGGAAAAGAAAGAGTGAAAAGGGCCCAAGAGCGAGTTGAAAAGGACTACGGAAAGCGGGTCAAAAGAGACCAACCCGCGCTGGAAGGAAGACCTGCCCCCGACGCAATGGATGTTGCAGCAGAGGAAGCGGCAGGCGCACCTTTGTCCAGACCAATGGAGGTCGAGGACCGCGCCGAGCCGAAACAGCGGAAGCGCGCAGCGTCCAAGGACGTCGAGGACCTTTACCGGGAAGAGCCCAGCACGAGGGCTACCGATGGTCCAGATGTCGAGGTCATTGGAGTACACGTGCAAGGGGGAGCAAGTGGCTCTGCAGGACCCGGCCTGGACCACTCACGCCAACAAGCACGAGCAGATGCAGAAATGTACGACACAGCAACGGCGAATCCGCCGCCAGCCAACGAGGAAGTGCGAATGAACCTGATTACGCGGATGTTCGAACAAAAGGGGCTCAAGTGCAGCCCGACCGAAGCGAAGGCCATAAACTCTATGGTTCTACAGTTGGGAGGTAATGGCAATTCAGCTGTGCCCTGGAGCATGGTGAATGAAGGCATTATCTTGCCAATGGACCAAGAGCCGCCGATGTTCGCTCAGGCTGAGCATTTGCGTTTCTTCGAAAAGCTGGAACAAGTGAAGCCAAAGCTTCTGGTGGGCAAGCTGCCCACTGGACCCTTCCAGTCAGTACAACGTGCTTTCGACATGACCAACAAGATTGGAGTCGAGACCAGACGCGGAAATTTGAGGAAGGCCCGATCTCAACTGGGGCTTTGCTTTGAGGCCTTCGAGGCACAGAAGGAAGCCGGAAACTACTTCCTCTATGAGTGCCCAAGGGGAACTAAGTCCTGGGAGCATGAACTTGCTCAAAGGATGGGTTCGTACTTGGTTGAAGGCCCAATGTGCAAGTGGAAAGTTGACGAAAGTGGAAAAATGATTGCAGGCCAATCCGGCAAGAAGCGAACCCGCTGGATTACTAATTCGGCGACGGTTGCAACAGCGCTGGAAAAGCTATGCAAGGGCAATGCGAAGGTGTGGAACCGAACGCTAAGCTTCAAGGAGGGGATCGTGACGGCCAAGGCCGAGTATCCTCCGAAGCTTGAAAGAGCACTACTGGCAGGAGTGCGAGCACAACTGGTTCTGGATGGAGACATGAAGGAGGTGGGCCATGTGGGTGGACCTGACCCACACGAGGAGCCACCGCTCGAAGAGTATCTCCATGATACCTTACCCAAGGCTGGGCAGCTTCACGTAAGCGAGCCCGTCATAGACGCAAACACAGGGGCACAACTTGATGCCAAAAAGGTTGCGGAAGCAAGAGCGTCAGAACTTGCCTGGGTGAAAAAGCAAGGTGTGTACGAGAAAGTCGAAGAGAGCGTGTGTTGGGACGAAACAGGTCGTCCGCCCATAACCTTGAAGTGGGTAGACCGCAACAAAGGGGATGATGTTCGGGAAAACTACCGCAGTCGTTTGGTAGTCCGCGAGGTCAAGTCACAGGGACAAGCGGCGTTGATACCAGACTACGCGCTGTTTTCCTCAATGCCACCTCTGGAAGGATTGAAGATCCTATGCAGTCTGCTGACGACACTCAAGAGGTCAAAGGGCGGAAAGAAGCTCACGCTGAAGCTGACAGACATATCACGTGCACACTTCTATGGAAAAGCAGAACGACGTGTGTTTGTCACACTTCCCGAGGGAGATGAAGCTCCCGGCTTTTGTGGTCTGTTGAAACGGACCATGTATGGCACCCGTGATGCCTCAGCTGTATGGCAGAGATCGTACACAAGCCTGTTACGCAAGCACGGGTTTGTCGTGGGAAAAGCATATCCGTGTACCTTTTATCATGCCGAAGCCGACGTGAGATTATTGGTGCATGGGGATGATTTCCTAGTCTTGGCAGACGAAGATGGACATCGCTTTGTAGACAAAGTACTGTCTGAAGAGTACGAGTTCAAGTGTGATGGCCACATAGGACCTGAGTGTGAAAAGGATAGCATGACTGTCCTGAACCGGGTCGTGAGCTATGACAGCCAGACAGGAACTGTTACGTACGAAGCGGATCCAAGGCACGCGGAAGCCCTAGTACGCGACCTTGGCCTGGAGTCTGCGAAGGCGGCCAAAACGCCAGCAGAAAAGAAAAAGGGAAGTGACCTGAAAGCGATGCTTGAAGCACAGCCGTTGAATGCCGAACTTCAGAAAGCATATCGGTCTCATACGATGAGGGCAGCGTTCCTTGCGCAGGACCGTCCAGACATTGCCGAGGCTACGAAGAGCTTAGCACGGCACATGAAAGAACCCACAGAGTGGGCATGGGCCGATCTGAAGAGGCTTGTCCGCTACTTACGCGGAAATCCACGGCTGATCTACGAGTACCACCCGCAACGGTTCAGCAAAGCGATTGTGATGTACTGCGACTCAGACCACGCTGGTTGCCTCATCACGCGGAGGTCAACCACGGGACTAGTGACAATGCTTGGATCGCACTGCGTGAAACACTCAAGCAACGTGCAAAGCACGATCTCCCTTTCGAGTGGAGAGAGTGAGTTTTACGCTATAGTTCGAGCAGGGTCAATAGGTCTGTCGCTACAGGCGATGCTAGAAGACTGGGGATTAAAGGTCGGTCTGCGGATTCGATCTGATTCCTCGGCGGCCCGAGGCACTACCCAGCGCCAGGGCCTGGGTCAAGCACGCCACGTGCAAACAAGATACTTGTGGGTGCAAGAGAAAGTCGCCACGCGAGCTCTGGAGCGTGTAGGCACGGAGAAGAACTACTCCGACATCTGCACCAAACCAATGCCCGAAGTGGCAATGCTCAAACACCTCAAGAACATGGGATTGCGTTTTCATGTTGGACGAGCCGGAGCAGCCAAACGGCTCGTGTGAAGCCAATGGGTCAAATGACCACCTGGCTTAGGAGGGGTGTTTAGATTTGTAGGTGTCACACAACATGTTTCACAATGAGTGAGCATACACATGCGACATTGGCTCAAGCCTTCAAAAGTGATTGCACCTGCAGTGTTAGTTCTGCCATAAACTCCGTTCACAACACCTAACCACAGACCACAAACCCTAACTAAACCCCAAGCCCTGAACCCAAACCCAAAAAAATCTCCAAGCCCCGAACCCCAAACCCCAAACAGTATGGGGGTTTACGAAAATAGGTGGCCCCAATATAGACCCCCAAATAGGAGGATCCCCTATAATGATATGGACCCCAATGAGGTACCCTAATATCGTAAACCCGCATATCGGCGGTTCGTTGCAGCTCCGGCGTGCAGCCGTCGGCGTTCAGCTAACGACTGTGGCTGGCTACCAGGCGCGCCCAGGGCCCTATGAATTTGGGCTTATTGTGAGGGTTTAGGGGTTGAGAGTTTGTGGGTTTAGGGACTTGGGACTAGGATTCGGAGAGTTTCTGGGCTTAGCGTTTAGAGTTTCGAGTTCAGAGGGCTGTTTGAACCCGAAGCCTTAAGCCCTACCTTAGGGATTAGGGTGCAGGGGTCAAAGCAGGTGTGAATCTCCATGGGAACGCTAAGTTGGGCCGGAAGCTGTAGTATTCCACCCCAGTTCAATCCTAAACCCTAAACCCTAACCCCTAAACCCTAAACCCTAAACCCAAGACCTCTCACAGTTGCCGCCTCGGGGAGTCATGAAACTTGTTTTTTTCTCGGGTTGCCGAACTCCATGTTCGAATGGCAAGTAAGGGCGACACTAGGAATAAGGGCACCCCCCCCCCCTCCCCCCAACGCCTGAACCCTAAACCCGAAACCCTAAACCCTAAACCCTAAACCCTAAACCCTAAACCCTAAACCCTAAACCCTAAACCCTAAACCCTAAACCCTAAACCCTAAACCCTAAACGCTACACTACGAAGGGTGCCCCCAATGCGAAGCAGAACTAGCCTCAACCTTGGCTTCATCGACCTGAGGCCACACGACTTCGGATTTTTCAACCACCCCCAAACAATTAAAAAACATAGAAGAAAGAAAACACAAAAAGATAAAACAAAAAGTAAAAACTATAATGAAAATGACAAAATGAACAAAGAAACATCTATATATATATATATGTAAGAAAACACATAAGTAAGTAGATAGATCAATAAATGAAGAAATACAATGGGCCTTGGGGGGGGAGGGAAGGAAGTGATGGGTTTGGAATAACGTTGCGGGCTTTGGGCAGCCCTAAGGCCGACAAACCCTTAACTTTCCTGACGTTTGAGGGGGCATCCGAGGGGCTTGGTTGCCCGGTGGTACCCTTTACCCTTGTTTTTTGGGGTTCAAGGTTCCCTTGCAAACTAGTAACCTAAACCCTAAACCCTAAACCCTCAACCCTCAACCCTCAACCCTCAACCCTAAACCCTAAACCCTAAACCCTAAACCCTAAACCCTAGGCCCCTCACGCCCGGGCAGGCCCCGGAGGTTGTGACGAAGGAGCAATGGCTGGAGGCCTTCACGAGGCGCCACGGCGGAGCCATGTTGGGATGGGGGTTTAGCGTTTAGGGTTTAGGGTTAAGGGTTTAGGGTTAATTAAGGGTTTAGGGTTTAGGGTTCAGGGTTTAGGGTTTAGGGTTTAGGGTTTCGGGTGTACAGAGTTTTGGGATAGGGACAGTCTACAGGCGTCAGGAGCCGAAATACTGAGTCACCACGTTTATCCCACATGGTCTTCCTGCACCAGCCTTCGTCAAGGCGAGAGGAAAGCACTTGTTTCAGCAAACCAGGGCGCAAGCGAAGAAGCTTCAAAGTCGTCCTTGTCTTTTAACCTTTCTTAAACTTGCCAGCCCCCCTGAAAGCCGTTAGCGCCTCTAGGACCCCGGAGCCTTCTGAGCCCGCAGCTTTGAGACCCCGGAGCCCTTTGAGCCCACAGACCCCAAACCTCTAAACCCTAAACCCTAAACCCTAAACCCTAAACCCTTAACCCTTAACCCTGAACCCTGAAACCCTAGACCCTAAACCCTAAACCCTAAACCCTAAACCCTAAACCCTAAACCCTAAACCCGCTGAAGCCCATAACACCTTTCCATAAAGCAACAACGCCGAACTCGCAAATTCCGATTGTACAGCCAGCGTCAACATTAGAAACGCTTATATGTCTTAGTTTGGACTTATTGTACATGACGCCTGTTGGCAACTTAGGATCTGCGTTGGAATTTTCTCCGCCGGTTTTTGGCCTGGCTTCTGGCTAAGGCACTCTTCTTCAGGGCTTCGGCCCTCAGCCTAGGTTTTGGAGGTTTTTCGGCCTCCGTTCCCCCTTCCTCTTCTTTGTGCCGGGCACGTTTCGGGTGTCCATCATGTCAAAGTTCATCATATTGTACATGACGCATACTGTAAATGCTCTTACAGCCCTTTCAACCCTAAACCCCCTAAGCCGCCTTTTCTTAAGAGGCTGAAAACCATGAAAAACCATCAAAGCCCTCTGACTCCCCAAACCCTCTGAGCCCGAAACCCTAAACCTGAGCCTAAACCCTAAACCCTAAACCCTAAACCCTAAACCCTAAACCCTAAACCCTAAACCCTAAACCCTAAACCCTAAACCCTAAACCCTAAACCCCCTTGCAGGTGGCTCCAGGCGCTTCAGGCACGCCTGGGCCAGCACCGGGTGTCCAGGCAGACCATGGTACGGAGGCGCGGGGAAAATCTGAATTTTGCCCTAAGGGTTCAGGGTTTAGGGTTTGGGGTTTAGGGTTTAGGGTTTAGGGGTTTATCTGGGTCTCCGGTATCGTTCGTTCCTTTATGCTTTAGTATTTGGATCATTTGCAACATCTCTTATATAGAAGCAGGATGCATGCATGTGAATTTTAGTTCTCGCGCTGTTGCTTAGACAGGGTGGGGCATAATTAGTGGGTGCCATCCGCCCAAATCAAACAGGCCCTCAGCTGCCCCGCACACCCTGCCACGCTAAAGCCTCCAACGCCCGACACGACAGAGGGAGCACCTTGTGGATCTAGGGTAGGAGTGTGCTTTTCGCTCCGGATCAGGTTGCTTGTGTTCTCTGTTTCTTCTCCCAAACCCTGAACCAGCACACCCTAACTGAAGGTTCATGGAGCCATCTAGGATATACTTGAAGACCTGGATGTGTACAAAAGGCTACCACATGTGCACTTATAATACAAAATATAGTAATAGAATATCAACAGTTATATATATATATATATGCATTTACATATACATCTTTGTAGATATATTAATTATTATAGATATACATATATATATATATGAGGCAGGGACCTCTACGTATTATGTGAACGCTTTCTCTGGCTATAATAGCAACTCTACTAAAAGGCAATAGTTCCAAGCGACTGACCATGCTTCAGGGGCTTGGTTATGCATGTTAAATGCGTTTTAGGGTTTAGGGTTTATTGTTGAGGGTTTAGGGTGGTTTGGGGTTTGGGGTTTAGGGTTTGGGGCTAACGGGGTTTTGGGTGTTGGGATTGCAGGCCTAGAGTGGATTATGGCTGCGGCAAAGGCCGAAACCCTGAACCCTACTTGGAGGTTCCGTGGCAGGTAGAACTGGGGTTATGAGTGGGGTCAGTGAAATGACACTTGGTAATGGCCCTTTCTAAGGCACTTCTAACCCTACTTAACAATACCCGTGAACAAGTGCGAGCCTCGCCCCAGGTCACAACAGACCCATCGCCCAGAAAAAATAGCTTGGATCTGCTGCACGCCCTTCAGATGACCTTGCACAATACTGCTGTCGCCGCCACGGTCAGCATGGCCCCAGGTCACGACGATATTCTGATGTATTTAAAAGACTCATAGAATCTTGTAAATCCAAAACCGTATGAGGAATTGAATATGATTATATTGAATTCAATTGGAAATCTAGAATATTTCATAAATTAATTCAAGAATATCGGTTTTCAATTCATTCTAAATGGCATGGAAATAACCTGATATTTCAAATCAAACATATACGATGTTCTGAGATATTTACACATGTCCAGAATCCAAATATTCCAGAATCATTGGAAATCCAATATTGTTTGAGCAATTGAATTGTTTTTATTGAATTCACATAGGCAATCTGAATATTTCATGAATTTAGGAAATTTTGGTCTTCAATTCTTTGTAATTGTCATTGAAAATCTCATATTTCCATTCAAATATATATACGACATTCTCAGGTATTCAAAATATTCATAAAATCATTATGAAACCAAAATTCTATGAGGATGGGGTGAAGTCTTCCTACAAAAGCGACTACAGCTAACCCTAAACCCAGAGCCCGAAGCAAGCGACGGCTGTGGCCGCGGGCTCCGAGTCTAGGGTTAGGGCTTCGGGCCTAGGGTGAACCGAAATCCGAAATCTAAACCCGGCGCCCTTGGTGACCACCATGCGTGCCCAGGCCCCGGGTTTAGATTTCGGGGATTAGGGCGGTCAGGGAGGGGTGAAGTTTTCTTACAAAAGCGAGTACAGCTGACCCTAAACCCGGAGGCTTGACCATGATTGACCAAAACCTGAGCTCCGCTCCTCACTCCCGTCAAAGCACACACCAGGATGGCCGAGGCGACCAAGGCCGAAAGGTTGGACGAAGGAGGGGGGGTTCGACGAAGGCCGACGTGAGAGGCCAAGACGAAGACCGGAGGATTCGACAAACGAAGGCCAGCAGGTCAACCAGTTGGTCTGCTGGAGGCTGTGCCCGGTGTTGCCAGCCCCAAGTTCCAAAACTCTCCTGGGCAGGTCTAAGGTCGGACCTTCATTTGGGTGGAACATACTGGAACAAACTCGTCCTGGGCAGGTCTGAGCTCTGGACCCCTTCATATAGGCGGAACATACTCGCGCTCACCGTCTTGCTTACCCGTCTTGCAAAGCGTGACGAAAACATAGTTCGCTGCTTCATCGGCATTAGTCCTGGAGGCCTTGAACCAAAATATTATAGTGTTT